AATTGATTGGCACACACTTAAGGCTCACCCAAGCAAGGAGAAGGGTGAGGAGAAACCCAAGTTCAAGAAGGATAAGAAGCAGTTCCAAAAGGTGTTCTAGGAAGATTCTCAATATCGAGAGGCCTCAACCTTCCTAGCCGCTCTATAATTCCAAAATGATAGAGACATCATTTGGATTTAAAAATGGGATTGCTCCCCTTTTTAGTCCTCTTATTAGCTTCTCCTTTCCTTTTTTGTAATAAAATGTTGTCTCTTCCCAAAGAATTAAGTTCTTTGATGAGTTTACTTTTGCTTCTCACAGGATCTTCCATCTTGACTGTTGTATGAACATTTGGAGAAGATTTATCAATTTCTCCTTCTTCAAGATCTCCTACTTCATCCACAATGTAAGATTCATCTTCTGGATTGATACATTCCAACAAATTGAAATTATTCAGATCTCCATCTGTATTAGAAGTATTTGAAGGAAGCAGAACTGTCATCTCTGAATCTCTATTTTCTCTTGTTAAGACTCCACTCATTAAGAAGTCTTCTTTCAAAATATCTTCCTTGTTGACTTTAGGATTAGGATTCATCTTGTTTTCCACATTCATATCCTTTTCAGCAGCAGGATCATGAATAACTTCATCAACTCTATCAAGATCAAATGCAGAATCCTTGGCAACTTCTTTATTAACAGAGCTTATAGACGGCTTGGAGTATGATTTCTGAACATAAACATTTTTGGTCTTCCTGTAGGTAGATTTATTGATACGTCACCGAAAATTGCTTTGATTGAACATGAATCTAGAGGCATATTCATATTGTAAACTTCTAAAATTAAAATTGGGATCATCCAAACTCTAATCTCAGTAAACTTATAGTCAATTTAAAAATCTCAAGGAGACGAACTCTAAGACACCAAAAATCAGTCCAATCCAAACCCAAATGGGACTAAATCAAGGGACCGAAGCACATTTGGAATGTCAAAGTATTAATTGGATGACCAAATGATCTCTAAATATGACATGCTTATAGTCGAATCTAGCGGCTTGATGAGACAAATCCAATGAGCCTGAGCTTAATTTCAATATAATTTGGGCATATAAATGCTTGATAAACATTCTATGATCGACTGAATCAATATGAGCCGTCCGATTGACCACTCTGATTTTTCCTTGAATCTTCACCATATTTATAGAGCAAGCCACTCACCAAAATATATAAATTGGCCTATGCTCTATTCAAGAGGAAATTGAAGAGAGCTATGAGTCTTCAAGAATCCTGGAGTTCCAACCAAGCACCACGGTTCGTGAACCTCCGTTTGACCATCATCGTACCAACTCTCGGTCGCCGACCATCGTTGGACCACCACAAGTCCTGACTGCGGTCAAATTTAATTTTATGTCATTAAATATAAATAAATCAATATATGAATAATTAGAAACTCATAAAATTAAATTTGAGTTAGAAATTACACTCATTAAGGATGCCCCCAACCTTCAAGATATTTAATGCAGTTGCCTCACCATATGCGTTTATAAGGGTTTCCATATACTTCTCTAATATTATAAGGGTTCTCATATACTGTGGAGTTAACTTTTATTTATCTTCTCATTTTAAGTGTTTTCCTTCGCCATATATACTAATTTTTTAAATTTTTATTAGAATATCACAATACGTAAATATTTGTATTAATTAAATATGTGCTTAGGTGTCTTTTACTCATTGGTTCACAAGAACCACGGTTACTACTTTCTGCTATAAATATTGTACATGTTATCTCAAACACATTCAATAAGAATAATATTCTCTTTATACTTCTTGTCCAGATGCAATGCAGTGGACCTACGCCCCTTGCCAGCCCCAGCCCTCTCATCTCAGCTCAACCATTGCATCCCATGGTCACTCGAACCCGGACTGGCTCATTGAAACCGGTCACTCGTCTGAACCTAATTCATTCCCAGACTTCTGCCACTTCCGTCTCACCCACCAATTACACCGAAGCAGCTAAGTATCCTCACTGGCGTACAACTATGGCAAACGAATTCATGGCGTTACAACAACAGGGTACTTGGACCCTCGTACCTCCTCCATCAACAATACAAATTCTTGGATGCCGGTGGACTTATCGAACAAAACTCAATGGTGACGGCTCTGTTGCAAAATACAAAGCACGACTCGTGGCACAAGGAAACAGATAAGAATTCGGCTTAGACTACACCGAGACGTTTAGTCCAGTAGCCAAACTCCCTACTATTCGAATAATGCTTGCTCTTGCTATTTCTAAAAATTGGCAGGTACACCAACTTGACGTTGCAAACGCCTTTCTTCACGGACAGCTCTCCGAACAAGTCTTTATGGCTCAACCACGAGGTTTCGAGGACACCGAACATCCTACTCATGTCTGTCAACTTCACAAAGCAATATATGGACTGAAATAAGCCCCGCGTCAATGATACAATACCTTCACCGATTACTTAATATCCATTGGTTTTAATTACAGCTCGGCCGATCAGTCCTTGTTAACGCTTCATCACCAAAGCTATCACATATACTTGCTCGTGTACGTGGATGCCATCCTCATCACCGGATCATGTCCACGGGCCATTGATAATGTTATAGCTCAACTCAGTCACAAATTCTCGATGAAGCACCTCGGGCTCGTCCACGATTTCCTCGGAGTTAAAATTGACAAACATGACAAATTCTATTTTCTTTCCCAACGTAAGTATGCTCTCTCAATACTTCAGCAAGCAGCCTTAACCAATTGCAATCCAGTGGTCAATCCAACGTGCACCAAATTACCGGAAAAACTGGTAACCGACTCTAAGCTCTTAGATCCTTCTCTCTACCGCCGCATCACAGGTTCTCTTCAGTACCTAACGCTCACCAGACCGGATATCGCATACAGCGTAAATCAGCTCTCCCAACACATGCATGACCCTCAACAGCCGCATGCCTTCATGCTCAAGAAACTTCTTCGTTATATCAAAGGTACACTTGATTTTGGAATTCCAATCACCAAAACTGATTTAGTTCTCACATCTTTTTTAGATGCCGATTGGGAAGGAGATCCCAACTCTCGAAAATCAACATATGGATTCTGCTCCTTCCTTGGCAACACACTCATATCATGGATTGTTAAAAAGCAACAAACTGTACCCAGATCCTCGACGGAATCAGAATACCGCGCATTAGCAGCTCTGACCGCGGACATAATTTGGCTTCGACGGCTGCTTTCCGACTTCGGAATTCCTCAATCCAACCCAACTGACATGTTCTGCGACAACACCTCTGCAATTGCGTTAGCCAACAACCCGATTTTTCATGCCCGAACGAAGCACATAGAGATCGATCAAAAGTTCATTCGGGATCATATTCAGCAGAATCACATTCGGCTTCTTCCCATTAGCACGATTGATCAAATCGCCAACATATTCACCAAAGCACTATCTACACTGCGATTCACCAAGCTTCGATCCAAACTGAGAGTCTCTCAAGACCCATCAATTTGCAGGGGCATATTAGAATATCACAATACGTAAATATTTGTATTAATTAAATATGTGCTTAGGTGTCTTTTACTCATTGGTTCACAAGAACCACGGTTACTACTTTCTGCTATAAATACTGTACATGTTATCTCAAACACATTCAATAAGAATAATTTTCTCTTTATACTTCTTGTCTTCTATGCTTGGCATTTATCTCTGTGCCTTTCATCTTCTACAATTTTGAATATCTTTTTTAGCGAAATTATTACGTGCGGTCGCCAAATGCCGTCTAGAAGCCCATCAAAAAGCATCATGTCACCAATTTATTATGTATCGATACTACGTACCGCTGTGTATCATGTGACATGAGGCGTTCTGATTGACTTCTGAACAGCCTGATAATCGCACATGTTGCGGGCTAGAATATACGTGGCGGTAGAGTTTACAAATTCACGTCTGAGCGTTGCACGAATATTCAGCACACAAACAGAAAAGAAAGTGAACACCATGATTTTTACATGGAAAACCTGAAAGAGGGACAAAACCACGGGGCACGCCCAGTTGAAAAGTTCCACTAGTATTTTGTAGATTACAATAAGCTGATTCGTCCCACAAGTCAGGATAATCAGATTACAAACTGTTTCTTCTAACTTGAAGCGAATTTACAAAGTTATGCAGAATTCAGGCGTCTCCCAAAAATCCGGCAGAGTTCCGCCGTATTAGAGTGGCGGAAAGAACTCCGACGGTGGTCAAGGAGGAGATGATTCTTCCTTTCCCCTTTTTCTCTTCTCTTTCTCTCTCTCTTCTCACTTGAGTCCTCTTGGGAAGAATGAGAGCTCTATTTATAGCTTTTTTGGAGTGGCATGGCTTGTAAATATGCATGAGATCATGGGCGAATAGGGAGTAGTCAAATGGACGGCCGATATTGAATCCTTCGATTGTGCACCGTTCGTTAGACATTTGAAGGCCTTAGTGATGTCAGAATTCGGCGATCTTGGGCTCGTTGGATTTTTCTCGTCTAGCCGTTCAATTCGACTATAAGCTCGTTAAAATCGAAGACCGTTTGGTAACTCAAATTGTGATTCAAACCTTCCAACAGCACTTCGAGTCTTCGATTCAGACTCATTTGGACTAGGATTGAGTTGAATTTGGTGTCGTTGGGTTCGTATTTCCGAGACGCTCAATTTGAATGTAAGCTCGCTGAAATCGGAGTTCAGGTGCTCCCGGAATTATTTTTTGAAGTTTTCTGGTTGGTTTTTGCCTCGAGATTCGTGCCTGATCAAGATGATTTTTTGAGAATATATCAGCACATAATAATTTCTCCTGTTTTAGCAGCCCATGCTCTCATACTTTTTATTTTTTTTTAATTATATTTTTTGTCTCTCAAATTTTTTGTAATTTCATACTACAATTAATGGAATTCGGGGCTATGCCCCCCTTAATTTTCTTTTTTTTTTAAAAAAAATCAAAAATCGATTAATCAAGCTGAATAAGAGCTTGAGAAGTCCTTTATAAAACAAATCGAATACCCTCCGTCTTCTGCATATCTGTGGCAGCGTTGCGCTCGACAGAGGGAAGTAAGAAAAAAAAAAACCCTAGTCATGACGATCGCAGCTCTAGGGCGGCTTCCTTTTCACCTATACCATTCTTCTCGACCACTCTCCCTCTTCGCCCGCTACTCCTTCTCCTCCGCTCCCTCGTCGTCAGCCAAGGTCGCAGACCGCATCGTAAAGCTATTCGCAATCGATCTTGATGGCAACAAGCGGGAGGTATTGGGCTTGACCGGACAAACCCTTCTGAAGGCCCTCACTAACGTCGGCCTCATCGATCCCGCGTCGCACCGGCTTGAGGAAATAGACTCGTGCTCGGCAGAATGCGAAGTTCACATCGCGCAGGAATGGCTCGAGAAGCTGCCGCCGGCGTCCTACGACGAACGCTATGTGCTCACCCGCAACTCCCGCAATCGCGTCCTCAACAAGCACGCTAGGCTAGGCTGCCAGGTCTTGCTCGACCACAATCTCCAGGGCATGGTCGTAGCCATTCCGGAGCCCAAGCCCTGGGACACCCAGTGAATAAATGGGGGAGTCCTAGTGTTACCATTCTGGTTTGTTTGGTCCTGTTAATTATGTCCATCTGCTCAAAATAAGATAGATTATCTGGAACTGATCTATCTCGATGCGCTTTTTTTTTATTGTGAGGCAATTATGGTATCTAAATTGTTGATTTCCCCATTTTGTTATTGGGATCACAGGTTTTATGAATATGGAACTTTTTTTTTTTCATATGGGTTTGTGATTCTAGATCTATGAATCTTTTGGGGTTTCTGCCTTCTTGGGGATTTGAAACTTTGTAGGATTTTGGCAACTGGTTTTGCTACAATTCTTATGATAGCGGCTCAGTGAGGTTCTTTAGGATGCTGGGCTTATAGGATTGACATTATATACTTTTTATGTTTTCTACTTGCTGACACAGTATGAAACTGCTTCTGTAGTTCATAAGTTAAATTTATCTTCTTTGTTACTTTGTTTTTTTTTTCTTTGTTACATTGTAGTTTACCTTCTATACTGTAATTTTGGCAGTTCACTTCTTTCTTTCGATCTTGGCTTGGCATGCATTTTGCTGGTCATGTGGCAATATGGGTTTTGTTAGCTTATTTTTTGTATGTGTCCGCAATGGTGTTATAAATGCTGAAGAGGCTTAAAAATTTTTCCACTGCACCTAGCAACTTATGCATAATTCAGTAACTGGAACTTGTATGCATATATCTCTGAATGGCCTTTGACATGGGATGGTTTCTAGATTAGTTAAACATTCTGCAGGATGAGTGCCACCTTTAAAACATGAAATATTGAGTCATAAATGTGTCTGAGCCAATTGGAATTGCCTAATTACTACCCTATCAACAACCAATTCAATAATGAATTTAAAGCATTTTAAAGCCATATATCCTATGCCATAATCTTTTCCAATTGGGTCAAGTTTGCTTCCATTCCCCATGGTATATTTACCTTCTTTCAATAATATTAGGCACAAAGTCTTCTCGAAAGGCTCTAGTAAGGTATGGAACCTCATTTGCAATGCTAATGCCTAGCACACTGCTTCTTCTTAGTTATCTTCATTCAATGTATTGGTTGCCACAAAATTTTAATTGATGCAATCCTCTTGAATAGCTGCTTGAATTGTTCCCAGATCAGGGGTAGCTATGACAATTTATTCCCATTTGCATGATCTGGCATCCCTTATGAATCTTTTTATTGATTGATGTTTTTGGCCCATGAGCTATGGCGAGGATCCCCAAGTTGAGGCTATTTTTGTTTATTTATTTATTTATTTTGATGCTATTTTTGTTATAGAAACCTTAGTCATACATGTTGCTCATTCCTTACAACCCGTCATCTGGCTAGAAAGAATATTTATTTGATTAATATTTATTGGATATTGCATGTGGCGTCTTCATGTCATTACAAGCTATGCTATGTTATTAATATGGATTTTATCATTGCTTGTTTGTATTCCCCATATTAGTGATGCTAAATCATTTCCTTTGGAGGTGGAATTTAGCATTTTTTTTAAGATGTGCCTTGTTTCTTCTGCAAGTGGTGGTTTTGAACTTACATCAAGGTTATTTTTGCTTGACCCAAAGCGGTGGATTTGGATCTTGCTTTATGTCTTGTTTGTTTGTTCGTAATATCTATTGCAAGAGTAGGGAGCTTTGGCTGTGCTTTGTATGCTATTGGATTGTTGAAGTTGTGTGTGCTTTTTTAATTGTGTGATATATGCATGTGATATTGATATTGAAATTTGTTGTTTTTTGGCTTAAGAGATTGAGACGTTTGATTATTGGGAGAGGAATTTATGGAATTCTAAATAGGGCTAGCATTAATATTATCATTTGGATTTAATTTAAACTTGAGTTGGACTGTCATTGTCAGGTCTAAAGCCCTTAATGAGAAAATTAGAGGATTGTGTTAGGTAGTTGACAGCCAGTGTAAAACTAGTTGAACAATTGTGACATGAATCATTTTATATTTTTTGTTAATGTTAGGGCATTCCTTGGAAGCGAAGCACTATATGGCTTGAATGATATGAACAACGTGGAAGGGCTACCGCACCAGCATCATGGTGCAGTGCTAAATAAGCAAAGGGTTCCCATATCATGGACGAATGTGGGCTAAGAAACTAGTCCTTGGAACTAAAATTAGGATCGAAAGTTGGAATCATGGTTTAAAATTGCGCAATATGAGGCTCACCTTGAGGCCCGCCTTTGCGCAATTCCAGTAAAAAACGCCTCGATGCTTACGCCTCGATCTTTTTTTATGAGGCTTGCGCCTTAACTTGGTTGAGGCCCGCCTCGCCTCACTGGCATGAGGCTTACGCCTCACGTTATATATATTAAAACTTACATAAGTCTTGAAGTAAATGCCCGATATTGGATTCTATAGGAGAGGAGGAAGGGGAGAGAGCAGTTCACCATAATGATGATTCAAATGAAGAACCCCTTAGTGATGATAGTGCTGATGACTTATGAGTTCTTATGTGATATGTCATTGCTATTTATTTTTGAAATTTGGAATTAGATGTTAATGAAAAGATTACTGGGATTTGGGAAAGATAGAATTTTGAGTTGAACTATATTTCATGTTGTCTTATTATTGAGATATTTTGATTTCACTTCATATCTTATGCTTTTTTTATGTTTTATATTATTCACTCATTAGTATATAAAAAATTTGATCATTTTATGTTTACGCAATCTTTTGATTTTGAGGCTTACGCCTCAAAACGCCTTGAGGCTTATGCCTCGCCTCACGAATGAAAAACGCCTCAATACCCGAATACGCAATTTTAAACATTGGTTGGAATATGAGTTCTCTTATAGGTAAATTAATAGAATTAATAGATATTGTGATTCTTTAGAAGATAAGTATTATATGTATTCAGGAAACTAAATGAGTTGGATAAAAGGCTGATGAGATTCATAATTTAGGATTTAAATTATGGTATTCAAATAAGAGTGGTATAGAAATGATGTAGGTGTGATTATAAATAAGAGTTTGAAGGATATTGTTGTAATTAATAGAATTGGAGATAGAATTATAGCTTTAAAGATTATTTTTTATGTTAAGATTATTAATATTATAAGTATTTATGCTCGTCAAATAGATTTGTATATGCATTCAAAATTAAAATTTTAGAATAACTTAAAAAAATTAATACAAATGATATATTTTGAAGAAAAGGTTTTTATTAAAGGAGATATAAATAGATAGATTGATAGAATGGTAGTAGATTTTAAAAGTATTTGTAATAGCTATGGGTTTTTGCTCGACACTAATGAATGTGGTAGGACCATATTAGATTTTTCTTTAGCTTATAATTTTATTATTGTTAATACTTTATTTAAAAAAATAAATAAATGAGCATCTCAACACTTATAAGAATGGACATAATAAAACTCAAATTGATTATTAAAAAAAAATCATTTTGATTACAAAGATTGAGAAGTCATTTCAAGTGGAAATTTATGTACCCAACATTACTTATTAGTTTTAAACCTTAAAATGAAGGGATAAAATATAAAAAATAAAATAAAATGTTATTCAAGGATTATATGAGGACATTTAAATAACACTAATAAAAATATTTTTTAGAGTAAGATTTAAGATCTCAAGATTTGGGTTATTTATGAGGAAGCTAATGTTATGTGGAAAAAAATAACTCATGATGTTAAGAATAGTACAAAGTATGTGCTTGAAGAATCAATAGAAAAAACTCTCAAAGTAAAAATAGTTGGTGGTGAAATTAAAATGTGCTAGAAAAGATTAAAAAAAAAATTGTTATAAAAATTCTTTTAGATGTAAAAGCTCAAAATATTGAGAAAAATATAAAATGGTTTGTAGCGAGTTTAAGAAAGCAATATGTGATGAAAAAATTTAGCTTTTAGCGATTTATATATTAAATTAGATAATAAGAAGGGCCAAATATGTATATATAAATTAGCCAAGTAAAACAGGAAAAGTAAGGATCTAATTCAAGTGAAATACATTAATGATGAAGATAAAAAAATTCTTTTCTTAGAAGAAGATATTCAACATAGGTAGTTGAGATTTTTCAATAAAGATTGTGAGAATACGATTGACTTTAATGACTTTGGCACCTTAAATAAAAATAGAGATTTTTATTTTAGTTGTCATATTAGTAAAATCAAAGTTGGAGATATTTTAAAGAAAATGAAGTGTGGAAAAGCAATGAGACCTGATGATATTCCAATAAAAGTGTGAAAATGCTTAGTAGATCAAGGAAATTCATGCCTTACTAAACTTTTTAATATTATTTTGAAGAATAAAAAAATGTCAGATCAGTGAAGTGTGTAGGTTCCTATTTTTAAGAATAAAAGTGACACACAAAAGTGTGAAAATTATAGATGAATTAAGTTAATGTGTCATACATTAAAATTGTGGGAGAGAGTAATTGAGAATATATTATGATGTGTATTTCTCAAAATTGTTTGGATTCATGTCGGGTAGGTCTACTATGAAAGCTATATATTTGTTGGGAGGTTTGATGAAGAACTATAATATTTATTGATTTAGAGAAATCATGTGATAAAGTTCCAAGAGAAGTTCTCTGGAGAATTCTAGAAAAGAAAGGAGTTACTAATGCTTATATTCCAGTCATTAAGGATATGTATTCATGAGCTTTTACTTGTGTTCAAACACAAGGTGGTTTGACCAAGTATTTTCCCATTTTAGTTGGATTACATCAACGATCAACTTTAGGCCCATATCTTTTTGCTTTAGTCATTGAAGTTCTTACTAGGCATTTGCCAAAGGATGTACCTTGGTTTATGCTTTTTGCTGATGATAATCTTCTTCTTGATAAACTAGAAAGGGAGTTGAAGGAAAACTTGAATTATTGATGTCAAACTTAGAGTCTAAAGGTTTTCGTTTGAGTAGATCTGAAGCCGAATACATGGAGTGTAATTTTAGTAGTAATAGATCTAGTGGCGGGATTATGGAATTGGGTGATTAAGTATTTAAAACGAGTGCACATTTTAGATATCATGAGTATATTGTTCAAAGCAATGGTGTAATAGATGGGGATATTATTAGTGTAATTTAAGTTGGATGGTTGAAGTGGAAGAATGCATTGAGCTTGTTGTGTGATAGAAAAGTACCCTTAAAACTTAAGGAAAATTTTTATATGTTTGTGGTGAGACCTGCAATGCTTTATGGCATAGAATATTAGCCATTAAAATAGAAGTATAAATTTTAGTTAAGTGTTGCAAAGATGAGGATGCTTAGCGAATGAGTAGATTTACACTTGAGATAGAATGCGAAACGAGTATACACATGAGAAGGTTG